ATTGATGCGGTACTCAAACCGTTACAACAACCTTACGAAGGACCTTTTTGAGTTATTTCGCGTCACGAAAAGTTCTTCAAGGTTGATCGACACGGTCGCTTCGATACGAATAACATCGAACGGCTCAAGGCAGCATATGTCGACGATGGCATAGTGCACGCCAGTTCGAGACCCGATGTTATGCCTGCACGGCCGATGATTGAGGCACCTACCTCAGAGTCGAGATCGCAGATCGCAGTACCTGCTACGATTTTGAATGAGGCAACTGTCTCATGTTCAAATCAGCGGTGTACAAAAAGCTTATCAGACCACGACGAGACATCAGTCTCACGTTCAGGTCGCCCGTCTGCGGGATTGAGCAAAACACGATCCACACAAGCATTTAACTTGAGCAATACCTATTACGACTTATATCACGAGATGCCTTATCTCGATATTTGTTTTGTATGCTCAATAATTGTGTATGATTGATGCAGCAATTTCGAACGTTGGGATGCTACACCGGTTTTCTCCGACAATCTTTCACTTCCAGAGATCAGGACATACGAAACGCACATTGGTTGCGTCGAGGTTCAACGAGAATTTTGGCACCCTCTCGCACGATCGTGGCCCCTTTGGATCTCAAGAGTTTGTTGAAGAGGATTCACGTTTCGACTGTCGCGTACATGAATATCCAGTGGTCTTCTTTCATTCTGGCACGCCAACGATCATGGACGCTGGAAACGACGAGAGCCACGATGCAACTAACGATTCGGATGATGTGAGTCCTCCAATGACCGAGTGAGGATACGTCACTATGGTTCCCATTCTGAAATCTGATGCAACAAATCTGGTTCATGTTCGACTGACGCAAAACAGTCCACAAACCAAGGATTCTGCCAGTTTATGTCTTGAAGCACGGCCACACGCTAACGATTGCCTGCTTTTCAAACTCGTTTCTGGATCGAAAACGTTTGCTTGCTTTCTAGCGGGGGGCTACTGTAGTGACCATGATTGCACGAAGAAAAGGAGCAATCCACGAGGACGTTTACCGCTCATATTTTCTTCACAATCATTGCTGACTTCTACTGTGGCACTTCTTTGTTTTACTTCAGCTTGTTTTACTGAGCACGGTTTACCGCTCATGTGTATATATAAGCTGGGTCCAATTCAAACCCACGCAACACGTGGGACACGCTTTCGCTTTGCTACTGCATTTATCGCTTGCATTGTTTAGCGTCACCTAGGCACGTTTCCGTACTACCTAGTACCACGATTCGCCAATATACGTCTACGACTACCACGAGTGTTTTTGTCTACCTCGGATAAGGAGACACTAGGAGGTCGCGCGCACTTTGAGACTCGCAAGAAAACTTACCGGCAGGCCGCCAACACCGGTTAGCTTCAGTTTGTCCATGGGAATTTGATGCTTACCGCCCAGTAGTCTCCAGCTTCTGTTTCTTTTTCTCAGTGCTCTCCTTATTGCTGGAGGCCATCATGGGGTTTTATTACAGCCTTTTCGAATCTTAAGGAGTGCGAGTTTGTCTTGGAGTTCTTGTAGGTTACTTTTGATTCTATGCCAGAGGTCCTCCTCTGTGGTCTGGTCACTTTCTGCTCCCCATCCGTGATTTAAGGCTCGTGCTTGCAGGCTGCTTGTGTCCAGGTTGCTGAAATTCCTAACTTTCCGGCCAGGCGCTTTGGATTCCCTTGAATCGAGGGTCACTTTTATCACCAGGTGATCGCTCTTCCCTATAGGTGGGTGAAGCGAGAGTTCTTCTACTTCTATTTGGTATTTAGTAAACACCAAATCCAGGAGCAATGGATTTTGACCAGCCGTGAATCTGGTGTTTTCTTCCCGTTTTGCAAGAGGGCTCTGGAGTGTATCCATTGCATAAACCTTTCCTCTGGTGTACTCTTTGAGCAGGTCTCTGTGGTCCACTGGATGCCAGGAAGGTTGACATCCCCAGCAATCACCAGTTTGTGCTAGTGCATCTAGCGCCCTGATCAGTTGCTCATCTTCATCTATGGAGGCTCCCGGACTCGTGTACACAATGGCTATGGTGGCGCTGTGTCCTAGAAATGAGTGAGATAGCACACATTTGTAGATTAGGAGTGCAGACATCCGTGTGCAATCGCCTATGAGGAGTTTCTTTGCGAAGGAGAAGGGCTACTCCTCCTCGTTGTCCCCCTCGATCCTGTCTGTGGATCTCAAAGTTTTTTGCGATGTTCTGTGGTATGTGGTCGCTTTCACGTACCCATGTTTCAGAGAAAACAATCACTGCAGCTTTGAGTTCCTCAGATGCGTTCCCTAGCTCTGTCCACTTATTCCGGATGCTACACGCATTTGCGCATAGCATGACTAACTTTTCCGGAATTGGGCATTTTAAGCCCCCTACTCTTGCTTTGGTCTCGGACGCAGTGCCCGAGTTGTCAACCCGTTTTTTGATGGGTCATTTTTAGTAATTGTCCTGCAACTTCTAAGTTCAGAGTCCGTCGGTTCTACCATAAAAGTCCTCCGCAGTGGTGTAGACGTTTGAACAGTTTTCTGTTCATCTTCACCTACCGACCTGCTCGGTAAGCAGGTCTTCCATTCCTCTTCTTCCAATATATCTTCTATAATGACCACCCCGATTCTGTAGGGGGTGTTTACCGCGAGCTGCGTACCCTGGTTTCTGACCCTTCCCTTAGGCCCCTTATGCTCTACTTTCCCATGCGGCCTTAGGTTGTCCGGGGCTATGCTGTATTGCCCGTTTGAACGCTGACTCATAAGGCATGCTTTCGACAAGAGCATGCCTCTTGATCTCGCCTCTCCGAACTCCAATAGTATCGGTCGGGCCGCAGTCACCCCGTTCGGGTTTGGCTGCTTCCAAACACCTACTCTGTGTATCCTTTTTATGTGACACTTTATATCTCGGGTTCGATGCTTGCGCCCAATAGTCCCGGNCCCGGTTCTTAATCTGTTTTCCGTTTCGCAGTTCCGTGTACGAACTGAAGAGGAGGTAAATGGCTCCACTATAATCCTGCTGGGTTGAGGATGTAGCGGTTCTTCAACCGAAAGTTTCGCAATGGCAGTTTTCTCTTCGTGCCTCTTGTTTTTCTCCAAGTTTCCTGAGATCCATTCAAACTGGACGTGATCATCAAATCACAGATCAAAGCACCTTCACCCTACGCTGGTGACTAGCATCAAGACAGGTTCAGTTTCTAACCAGTCCTATATAATTGAGGACTATCAGGACATGGTCACACAAACATGACACACTTATCAGAACCATCAGGGTTCAGCTATCAAGTAGTGATTTAGTTTATTGATCAGGTAGAATAATTACAAAATCTAGACTACCGTCAATCTCTTCCTCCTAACATAAGGACCCGTCTCTACTGGATGTAATCAAGTGCACCGTCAAGATTTAGCACATATCGCCATTATTTGTCGATATTCATTTTCTGGAGGGCGTTCCTTCACTAGATGTATCAGCTTGGACACTTCCAGAATTAAGTTTTGCTCTAACTATTATCGTGCCTTTAATAAGCTTGAAAAGATCGCAACGGCACAATTCCTACGGTGAGCACTGTATCGCAAATTTTCTTTGCATTAATCAGATCTACTTTCAGGTTTCCGCTGACGCTGCTTAAATAACAGCCTAAGCCTAGCCAAACTTACTTCCAACCTTTCGCAAGTTTCAGGACATATCGTTTTCTACAAACCAAACCCTTTATTCTGTTTCTTCTTGGGACGGATATCCAGAAAGAACGTGAGTAAACATTAGTGACAGGTTCTGACGAACATCAACAACCGCCTAGTTTTTAAACGGGTGCATGCATGAGGAAAAATTGAGAGAACTGTACCAGTTCAGTTCAGTTTGCACAGGACGATGTTTGGCCCGGGCCAATCGTGTCTCCAGAGGGATGTGTTGTTGGCTGATCTTGTGGCTTCCAACACGGCAAGTCAATATGTTTTGTCTGGAAGGCAGAATGTGAGGTGCAGTATCACTTCCTAGGCAATGGCCCTCAGGAATAATAGTTCAGATCAGGTCGGATCGGGTACACAGGACTTGCGGCTGTTGCCAATGAGTCCATTTCCTTGAAGTTGCGAGCTCTGATTCCACTCCACTGTGCTTCGACTGCAGGAGAAGTTCATGATTCTTCTCTTCGGGTTTCTGGATGACGGTCAGACTGTAGGTGCTTACCTTTAAACTGTTCCAAGGAATATAGAAGCCCAACAATCATCTAAGGCCCTTTTAGGTGCTCTGACGTTCGAGCAATTTACCACATCCTCGGGTGGACTATTCCAGTATGGTATTACATGACTTGTAAAGAACTTGGTTTGGATGTGCAGTGATGATGACTGTACGAAGAAAAGGAGCAGTCCACGAGGACGTTTCGTGCATATTTGCCTCATAATCAACTCTGACTCTAACTGGGATATTTCTTTCTGTTTTACTTCAACCCTTGTGTTTTGTGGTTCTCCGCTCAGCTGGGTCCTGGTAAAACCCAGGCGAAACGTGCGATACGCTTTCGCTTTGTCGATTCATTTATTTGCTTGCATCGTCGTAGCATCGGCTCGCATTCGGTACTTTCTAGTACCACGATACGCCAAACATGTCCACGAGCGTTTTGCCAACCAAGGCAACGAGAAACTAGGAGGTCGGAGGTAGGATAACTTGTCGGTAGGCGGCAAACGCGGATTAGCTTCATTGGTGATGCCGTAACGTCTAGTTGGTGAACCAAATCCACTTTTGTGTACCCTATTTTTCTCCCGGTTCATTTTCATTTGCATGATATCGTTCTTTAACTCATTTGTACGATTTTCGAGTAACAAAAAACCATTAGACGATAGGAAGCTGAACCTACTGATTGCGTTTTCATCCGACTACATTGGCTCAACTCCGTGGCACATGCTAAGCGGATAGCAGTGTCCACTTTCTCAAGAAATTTCATATCAGTACACGGATCCAGCTTCGAAGCTGGATCTGTGGAACACAACATACTTTGGTACATACTTTTATAAGTATTGTGACCTATCTTTCCTTACCTCTTATCCATCCGCTCCGGTTTTCCTGACTCAATTGGCTCAACTCCGTGGCACATGCTAACCAGGTAGCTGTGTCCACTCTATCAACTGATGTTCTACCATTATGCGTATCCTCCTCCATTTTGGACCTGTAGAACTAGACATATTTTGACAACATCCTTTCACTAGTGTTATGGCCTAAGCATCCTCCTTGATTAGAATTTGTCGTTTACTTCTTGCTATTTCTTTCCCTAATCCCTTCTCAGTTGGGCTGCTCCCCAGACTGCCGATGTTCGCCTTCCTATTCCAGATCCGGTTGGTTTGGGCCTGACGAAGGCTTTGGGTCTACACCCGCAATGGAAAACTTGGCACGATCAATGGTTGTTGGGCGCGGCTGTATCCAACGCTTTGACTACATGGGTCCGCATTCCGGACCAGGCAGAAGAAAGCACCCCCTGCCTCATCTACAAGGTGTTTTAAGGTTGGGTGTGTAGAATAAATTCTGCCCATATTGACACTCTTCACAAACAGAAACCCAGCACCACTATCCTATCGTCCATTGCCTTCCCTTTGACCATGTAACCTTGATTTCATCCCCTCACTGATCCGTGCCTATGACTGTTCTCCATGCCGTTAAAACATACGCACGCACTATTAGTATGTTTGCCCCATTACGTTGGCCTCTGTCGGTCCCACCCGTCCCATCGATCCTTGCCCATGATCGACTGACCCTGACACTTGTGTACACACACGCACGTACACACCTACACCGATTCATCGCACTGTCCTGTCACGACGGGCCCTGATGACACATTTACACCCATTGTGTTGTGATTGGTTCCCCCTAGGTTGCTTCTCACTATTGACCACCACGGATTCATGTGATCCTGTTCGACATTGTTCGGTGTATTGGTTCTATTGTCATCGCACTGCGCGCCTGCTTGCTCGCAGTTCTTGCTCGTCGAATTACTGGTTTCACAGATTCCGGTGTTTTTAACCGGCTAGTGCCGCAGTTTGAGGTTTGCATATTTTTTGCTATTGTAAACTGTATTTCAGTAACGCATTTGTAAAAGAAACCTATCTGTTGAAAGACACCGTCTTCCGGTTTTCTTGCGCGTCACTCTACGTGAATCATTGTAGCCTGTGAAGTCAACAGTACTCAAACTTGACGGAAGCAGTACTCAAACTGGTACTCTGAATTGGAATTTACGATTGGTCTCGAGCGCTCGGGGTATCCTATACTTTGTCGATTTGCGTTTGGATCTATTTTGGATCTATTCTTCGAGGATGCCTGTAACCCGCAGTTGTCAGTCGAAGAATCCAGACAGTCATGAAGAGGAGAATACCACAACTCAGGTGAACTCCCCCTTGTTGTATACCCGCTCTCGGTTTCACAGTTCTCATCGCCCTCTAAGTTTGACATGTATTGTGATAGGGAATTGAACAGGCATATAGTANAAGAGCTAGATATTAGGCGCCGAAAGATTCAAGTTCAGCGAGAAGCGCTACTGGGCACGCCGGATGAAAAATCTTCCTTAACACATGGTGTCACCCAAAGACCCCAATTTAGTAGCAGAGACGAATCGAAGAAAAAGTTGAAGAGATGAACGCCAGAGGTCCTGAGCGGTTAATCAATGTGCACCCGATTTTTACGTCCGCAGCCCTGCCTAAAATCGAATTGGACAAGTTTGACGGCG